ATGAGTCTAAAAACCAAAACCAAACCCACTGCCATTGAGCTGATTCCAACTCATAGCAACTCTGTAAGACAGTAGAACTGCCCTATCCGGTTTCCAAGCCTGTAAATCTACAGAAGCAGACTGCCTCATCTTTCTTCCATGCAGCAGCTAGTGGGTTCAACTGTCCACCTTTTGGTTAGCAGCCAAAGGCTTTAACCACTCTGCCACCAGAGCTCCTTAGTCTGAGAACCAAAACTGAAAACCAAACTCATTGCTGTTGAGTCAGATCCGACTCATAGTGACCCCTCCTTGGGTTTCTGAGGTGATACCGCTATGGAAGTAGATCACCCAATCTTCTTTCCAAGGAGTGGTTGGTGGGTTTGAACTGCCGGCCTTTTGGTTAGCATTGAAATGCCTCAGGCACCGGGCTGCCAGCACTGCATCAATATTTCTAGAAAAGACCACTTCCAGCAGCTGTAATATACAGAGTAACTTTATATTAAAAAATGTAATGGCAGGGATACATTGTGAGTCATAAGGGGTTACAGTCATATGGAGATGTTAAAAGTAATTTAATCAAAATACTATTGCTAATAATAACAATTAACACTTATTGAACTCAGTACTAAGTACTTTATATACATTTTATGCTCAAAATAGCTCCATCATTAGGCACATTTTACAGATGAAAAAAACCCTTGGCTGTCATATTCACTTCCTATCCCTACAGCTGATTACATATAGTTCAATAACTATTGAATAAATTAATGCATAAGACTTAAAGGGAGTAAATAATTTGTCTGTGGTCATGATGCAAGATTTTAATACCAAGTTGAGGTGATTCCAGAATATGAGCTTTTGAAACTAGCAAAAAGATTTCTATCAATGTCACAAGATAAATGGTTATCACTGAGTGGAGGGTCCATTAAATGTTAAGTATGTCTCATCAGAACATTTTTTACTATAAAGGCATCTGAGAGTCACCATAAATGTTTCTGACCAGTACCTAACCAGCAACTGTGAAAACTCTGGATAAAAGACCACACACACTGCACATTTAGACTGGGCTTGCATGACAAGCAACCACACTATATATCATATTGAAAGCACGTTCGAAGTGACATTGTTTGCATGATGAATGCAATATCAATCCAAAAAAAATGCCAAAAGACCACGATGAATTAAAAATGAGATGTGTCTTTTATGGAAAGACCAGTGCCAAAGAAGATGGAAAGAAGATTCCAGAGAAAGAGGATTTTGAGGAAGACCATACATCAGAATTAATTTTCACATGTGCTTTAGTCCTTATATTTATGTCACAGAAGATTTTTTCCATCTAATTGCCTGAAATAACTATAAAAACTAATTCTAAGAACTAAGAATGACTGAGCCAAAATGTGGGTGTGGAGTTGTACTATCTAATAGATTTCACCATGGCCTTAAGTATTTATCCTAAATCCTCCTCCCTGAGGTTTCCCCTACAAAGTAACATACCCTTTGATTTTGACAGTAAAATAGGCATCAATTATTTCATTTTATTTGTTCAGAACATAGCTGGCTTTTCACTTCAAATATTCTTGATGGGGGAAGAAAAAAAATAAAATGCTTAAATCATCATTGTCTTCATTTATTCTTAACACCAAGTGACTTAGTAAATGCTCCCTGGAATTTTCTTTCTGCACTTTTCCAAATAAACTAGCTCTTATATTCTTTTGCTATTATTCAAAATATTAATGTTTTGCTCCTTTTTTGTAAATAGAGGATAATATGATTATATACAAACCAGTTTAATTTTGTCTTTTAATTCAGAATTCCAGGCACTGAGAATACAGTGTCAAAGATTAGGGGAAAAGATATGTTGTCATAAAATACATATCAAAACATTACACTAAATGGCATGATGTCACACATACTTCAGCTGTCTGGATATAAAAGCCAAACTGATTCTTTGGAAGCAGCCTTAGATTCTTTTTGGAAGCAAGCAGAGTAAAAAAATTAATTGGGGACATAAAACTTGAGGTATTTGCAGCTGTAGCAAAATAAATCATCTGATTTATGACACTAGCTGTTATAGCTGTTTTTTTTTTTTTTTTTATTCTTCCTCCAGATTACAGTAAAAAACTAAATCTTTTTTTTCTTTTTATTGTGATTTGGGTGAAGTTTTAAAGAGCA